GTGTTTCAATAACCAATTTCCCATTCTGAAATGAGACAAACATTTTCAGATGATGGAAATATCATCTATTGGATGGATAAAAACCAATGCCTTAAAATCAGTGTTAAAAGCAACTGTATCCTTTATTCCCAACAGCCATGGGTCTGAGATAAAGGATCTTGCAGACCATTAAGTTCCATGTCTTTTCTCTGATTCAGCACAAATTCCTCAGCGCAGGTGTTTCTGTAATTATGATACATTGGGAAATTCTCTGTGTTCAATGGCCCTCAGACTCACACTTCCACCTCATCAGTCACATGTCAGCCTAACTCCACCCTGTGCCCTAAATCGCTGGTGTCATTAAGAAGCTGAAAACTTCAGAGGGCAGATTTGCAGCTGTGATGTATAATACAGAACATTTCATGAAAAATGTATGAGTAGAGATTTTTTTCTAATATTTCCTCTGTAGCAATCTGCCAGAACCATAACCATCTAGACATGTTTATTATACAGACTTTTTTAAAAGAGGCTTTCATTGCTCTTTGCGATGTGATGTTCCCTCGTTATTTCATAAACACTCCATTGATATTCTTTCTGCAACAAAGTGCTCTAACCTCAGGAACACAGCTGCTTCTTTCCAATAAAATCTGTATTTTCAATCATACAGAAAGCTTCACCTTGATTTAACTGTAGTCTTTGGTATGCTTTCTGATTTGCCAATCAAAACCAAGTAGTATATATTTAGTTAAGGGACTGATATTCTGTAACAAATACTGGAAGTCTAGAGAACCAGATAATTTTTAAAACCTACCTTAGGAAAGAATATGATAGTACTTGAGTCACTGGACTCCACATTTGAAATAGTAAATATATATAAAATATTTAGGATTCTTGGCTCTTTTCTCTGAAGTCCAATAGCATTTAGAGATTTTTGAGCCCCTGATGATTGACTTATACTATCTTATTTTACTACATATTCTTTCATATATATTTATAAGCTCATCACTTATATTCTAATCTCTTTGGGGGAAATAAACAAGCACATATTTTTATACCCCTTGTGCTTTGCAAATACTATGGGAGGTACTCAAACGTTTCCTCACTCTCTCCCTTTCTTCTTTCTTTCCTTATTTTTCTTTCATCTTTCATACATGAATTTATTAACTACCTCTTCCGACTCCCAGTGAGCCAGGCACTGTACACAGGGTAATTACCCTAATAATACAATGTTTTGAAGAACTTTGTAACTCTATGTCACCTCTATATTTACTGTGGACATTTGAGATTACAAGGCAGATCCAAACGTATTTGCAATCCCTGAAAAGAGAAATATACATACACACTGCAGACAACGGCAATATGGTCATAAAAGCTCACCACTGATACTTATTAAAATTATGTCCATTAAGTGAGAAAAAATATTTCAAGTTGTACACAACTCATGGCTAACTGCATGATAAGTAGTAATAACTGAAGTTTATTTTTATTTATTTCTAATTAGATTTTTCTTTTTTGGAACAGAAGCACATAATCTACAAGTAGCTTTGATGGTGACAATCAATAGACAACACACAGAGAAAAATACAAATGCTTTATTTAAGGCAAATTCAAATCTATCATAGTTCACCTCCTAGAGCATACAGCCTCATAACTTACACACACAATTTTAAGAAATGTCTCACTGGTTCAGAAGAGTAAAACTTAAGTGGTCAGTTGAGCCATACTGTGCTTCACTAGGCACAGTAAAAAAAACAAGAAGAACATTTATTTCCCTTTTTTTGTTTGTTTGTTTGTAGAAAGTGGTTTATTTAGAGCGAGAAACAGGAGAAGGAGAGAGAAACAGCAAACTCTCACATTAAGTGAGAGAATCCAGAAAGATGGAATCCAGGAGAGGAAAGCAGTTTCCACACTGAGTGGAAGGGAATAGAAAGAGATGGAATTTAGGAGGGGAAGACAGGCTTCCATGAGTGTGGAAGGGGACTCCAGAGGGGAAATCCAGGAGAGAGAAAGATGGCTTCCATGAAGGGAATGTTCGTGGAAGGGGATCCAAACATGGAGTCCAAAGGGATGTGGAAGAAGGGGACTTTTAACCTAGGAGGAACCCCCATCTTCTCTAAGACCCATGGCCAATAAAAGGAGTTCCTTAGAACTTCCGCTGGAGTGATTGACTCTTAGTTTCTTCCCGTGCCTGCAAAATTCAAACTAAACCAAATTGTTTTGTTTTTTTTTTAAATGGTGTTTCACCAGGTTGGTCAGGCTAGTCTTAAACTCCCGACCTCAGGTGATCCGCCTGCCTGCCTTGGCTTCCAAAGTGCTTGGATTACAGGCGTGAACCACCACGCCCAGCCTATCAAACTGTTAAATGTCCTAGATGGAGAGAGATGGGGGGGCATGGTGCTAGGAAGATCTTGCCATTAAATCTATGCCCCCCTGTGGACCTGGAAAGAGAACACATTCCCTCATTCCCCCGCTCTGAACAGGAAAGCCCAACTTCTGCTGGAATTACAGATGTCTATCCTCTAACTACTTCCTGCTGAAATGGGGTGTAGAAGGGGCCCTACAGTTGAGGTTTCCTCCAGAGGGGAGAGTTTCAGGGGTGCAGGTTGATCTAGAGTGCCACCATAGAGCCTATGAGCCAATGGCATCTGGGGTTCCAGCGGCAGGATTATTTGTGACCTTATGGTTCTATAAGAAACGGATGTGACAAGTTGGTTAAAGATGAGAGGCCCAGAGGCCAACAAATATAGAATGGTTATAAACGAGCCTGGGAGAGAACAGAGCCAGGTTCTTGAAGGTCTTTAGCCCTTTTTTTGATTGACTTCTGGGTTCTATGCTTAAAACAACACTTAACTGGTTTACAAAATAGCAGCATTTTTCCTGGGAAGAGACGGGTACCTTTCCCACTATGAAAAGGAGACTCGTATTTTGAGAGATAGCAGTTGAGGGTTATATAGTCCTATTAATACCAGGATATAAATTAGACATGAGTGGCTACTTCCCTGGGTATCTTGTTGGAAAAGCAGATGTAGATCTTCTCATGGCTCACGGGGATAGGAAGGGTCGTCTCCTGGAACTTCAGGTTGTGAAGTGGAGGGTCTGTGACTTTCCTCAGGTGGTATCCAAGGCTTCAGCTGAGTGTGATGAATCCATGAGTTAATTTCCACTACCTTAACTGCTGTTGGAGTGGACAGAATGACTGAAAATGACCTTCCCATGATGGGCCTAGAAAGGGTGAGTTTGAGGGGAGAGAATTAACAAGCACCAAGTCTCCAGGGCAGGAGAGAAATACTGAGAAGTCCATGCAGGGTCCAGGAGAAGATCAACTTCCTAGACCTCTATGGGCAGCTTTCCCTGGGGCTTTGTGAGGGGAGGCCATTGGGTCATCTGGTCAGACACCTCAGGTCGTGAGAACCTTCATCCCCTAGGACAGTGTGCTTTCCAGTGATTTCCTTGGCACAGCAAGCATGGATATGGATGAGATGGTGGTCCATTTTTGAGGTACAATTTCTTACAAAATGTCCTTACAGATCACACTGGTAGCAAGTTTTGCCAGACTGGTGGCTAAAGCTTTTCCCACATTTGAGCCCCAGGGGTCTGCTAGCCTGAGAGCCATAACTAAGACTGATTTCACCCGTTCCTCTCAGCTTGTTCTTTCTGGTCTGTATTATAAAACACCGAGGTTGCCCGGTTCAGTAATGATTCTAGACTCTGTTCTGGTCCCAAAGCCAACGTCTGGAGCTTCCACCTGATATCTGCTGCTGACTAGCAAACTTGTCCTTTAGTATTAACTGATCCTCAGTGAAGTATGGTGATGGGGTGTACTTTCTTAAGGCCTCCTGTAACCACCCAAGGAAAGCTGCTGGATTGTCTTCTCTTCTCTTTGGGAACTACATTTTCCACTCAGCAGAGGGTAATTTGGCCACTCTCTTTGGCAGAGAAAAATAAGCCGCTTCTTCCTTAAAGACTGTGTGTTAAATTGGTCCCAGTTTTCCAGTAGACCCTTTAATGGAGACTTGAGCTAGGGAATAGAGGCACCCATCTGAAATTGAACGCAAGGGATGCCCACATCCCTGGTTAAAGAAATTACAACTGCTTCCACCTGAGGCATTCCCCAGGTAAAATGGGTACTAAAATGAAACGTCTTTCAGTCAGTACCCAAAAATTTGGTGTGCTCAAGATACATGATCCATCTTACAAGAGGGCCTCCTTTGTACTGGATTTGAATCATGACCTACCAGCATCATAGGACCACTCTCACTGCCTGCAGGACCTCTAGTGAATACCATAGAGGCATGTACCAAGCGGAGATATTGAGTTGGGTAGTCACGTACCAACGAGCCCTGATGAGGCCAATGAGGCTCAGGTGATGAGTACCAATATTTCTCAGCAATAGTCCAATTTACACAGGCCAATTTATAAAACTGCCCAGAAGGGTAACCTTCTAGGGATGGGCCATTAGAGCACACAGCTCAAAGAAGGCAGGCCAGGTGTGGCTGAGGCTGGAACAATACCCTCAGGACCCGGGCATCGTCTCCCCTAACCCATTTTCCATTGTAGGAAAATGCCTTTAGAGATGCGAGAGCTGCCATTACCTATTTGGGCCCTGGAACCAGTTTAAGTATAATCTTCTAGGTGGAAAAGTCTTGCTGCAGAGAGAACCAATCCTAAACAAGACAAATTATACACCAAATACAAAGTCCCATAGCCTTCAGTTTCAGAATTTTCCAAGAGGCTTCACCAAGTCAAGACAGACTCCACCTGGGATTTGAACAAGCAACCTTGCAGGTGCAGGTCCTACACCTTAACCAACTATGCGAACAGGCAAGCTGGATTGAGAGAAGGCAGAAAGCTTTCTTTAGCAGTATTTTGAATGAAAATGCTACACTCTAAGGCTATGTGGCCTGCCTAAAAGATGGGCAGAACTGAAGGCCATCAGCCGCTCCCTTTCCCTCAGCCACACCAGCAGAGGAAAAAAGCCACTTGCTGCATCAGTTTAAAAGCTATTTTTGCAGCGGCTGCTGGGCTGCTGAGTGTTCCCTCACCCCCACGGCTTTTGGTCACCATGTTGACCCTGCCAGAAACACTTGCATGCCTGGGCCACTTCCCGAGCTACTGCCCACACAGCGACCCATGACCTGGTAGGCAAATGCCCTGGGGAGACTTTTTTACCCTGCTGCCTGGGACTGGGGAATGCCAGAGAGGCCTGCCAGAGCCATGCGCCAGGCTGCCACGCTCCCCATCCCTGCAGGCTGCTGTAGTACCTGGTCCCTCCCTGCTGTTTTCTGCAGCTCACAGCTGTGCACTCATTTCCATCCCTGGGGCTGGGCTGTTCCCCACCTGCAAGGAGTGAAAGGCCAGGAGGCAGTGCTTGCCTGCTCTTCCCCACAGGCTCCCTCAGGTTTTGGTCCCAGAGATGTATCTGAAGAGAAGGAGATGGAAAGCAGAGAGAGAGCTTGAAGGTAAAAAAAACCTGCGCTTTTAATTCTGGCTGGGCTTCGCTGCTTTAGAGGGACTGGGTCCTTTCTCCCAGGCACCTCTGCTCAGGTTCATAGCTGCGGTTGCTTCAGGTGTTCATAAAGAGACAGGACATAATGGGGCCAGTTTTACTCACGATTTTGAAGTTTTCTTCTCTAGCTGTACTCGTTTCCTGGCTGTACCCCTCTTCTGGTGTGCCCCTCTCCTAGCTGGCTCACCAAAATGTAATATTGGGGTTCAGGGGTTCAGGGTGCCCTCAGCTCCCCTGAGAGGATGTTTCTCCAGGTTCTTAACATCCTGCCCTCTCAAGAATGAGAGAGGGGACCACGGTGCAGTGCACAGTAAATGCTGGACTCAAAAGTGTTTGTAGAAAGTGATTTATTTAAAGACAGAGAAACAGAGGAGAGAGAAAGAAACAGCTAACTGTCACACTGAGTGAGAGAATCTAGAAAGATGGAATCCAGGAGGGGAAAGCAGCTTCCTCACTGAGTGGAAGGGAATAGAGATGGAGTTTAGGAGGAGAAGACAGGCTTCCACAAAGGGAATGTTCATGGAAGGGGACTCCAGAGGGAAAATTCAGGAGAGAGAAAAAAGGCTTCCACGAAGAGAATATTTGTGGAAGGGGATCCAAACATGGAGTCCTGAAGAATGTCATTTCCAAGAAAATGTAATGTCTAGTGCTCTTATTTTTGAAATATTGACCTTTTAGATTAAAATCTTGATTAAATTAGAGTCAAATAAGTGGCATTGTAGCATATACAATGGATATAATAGAGTAAAATTTTGGCAGTGATTATAGCATATCAATTCATTGTGAAAGAGTAATAAAAAGGACTAGGTTTTTGGCTATCTTGCCTTATTACAGACAACATTTGGACTGAAAAAATGTTAAACAGTGTTCTTCATGTGCCTGAATTCAGTCAAGATTGATGCCTAGAATAACTTTTGCTGGATTTCACTATCAGTTTAAACAACAGTGTAACATAAAGACAGCTAAGAATGCCAGGGCTGTTTTATTCTGATTTCTGTTTCTGGAGCTCCTATTTCTTGGACTTGTAGTACGGTCCAGGTCTTGTGCTTAGTGCTTTTCATGCCTCACCATGTTGAATCCTTTGATAAATCTATTAGATGGAGTTTTTTTTAAAATCCCAAGTTTATGTGGAATCTCACAAAAAAACTGAGATTTAGAGTTGTTTATTTCACCACACAATTTTCTTTACTGGCAAACTTGTGAGAAATTCTTCCATGCCCATAGTACCAGCAATCAGTATGTTTGTCTTAGGAATTGATGTGTTTTTAATTATTAGATATTTATGTGAGAGATTCAGTGTTTGTTTCATAGTTGTTGCTAAAATGAATGGAGCCAACACTGAAACAATGTACATATTATTGCAGACTTCATATTTATTTTATTTCATCTGAATATTCAGTCTCCATTTCAGCAGGTCCTTAAACTTATGTTTCTTCATTATTTTTAATTTAAGCTAGCTTTAAGGTATAACACAGTGTAACAAGGTAAACAAATGTTATCTTATCAGATTTCGTGTAAGTAAATGTATGAATATCAGATTTCCCTAGTGGCCTAAATGGCCCTTTTTACTGTCTGGCAGGAGATTCTTTCTTTTAAAGTGATCAACTAAGTATTGTGATTTATATTTGCTTCACTTTCTCTGTGGTATGGTGAGCCAGTGTCTTCCTTTCCCTGGTCTGATCACTCTCTGAGTAGGTAAGAGAAAGAAACATCTAAAAGACCTAGGTGTATGGCAAACTATATAGCCTGTAAAATAGCTACTTCTTTGGGGACCAATGCTGTGAAAATCCATCTTAGAGAAAGAATGAGTTGTACTTTTATCTTCATCCACATCTGATTTTTGCTGAGTTGGTGTTGATCCTGACTCTCCTGCATCCTAGCTATATGATCTTGCTCAAGTTTGTCACCATTCTATGCCTCATATTTCTCTCTGGGCAGTGGGGAATAATAGTACATCCTTACAGAGCTTCTGTGAGGATTAACAGGAGAAATCTCATATATTGTACCAAGAAAATGGAAAGCACTCATTAAATATAAGTAGTTGTCATCATTATTCCTACTGCTATAGTTATTAAAGAGTCTAGAGCTATACCTCATTTTTTTTTTTTTTTTTTGAGATGGAGTTTTGCTCTTGTTACCCAGGCTGGAGTGCAATGGCGCGATCTCGGCTCACCGCAACCTCTGCCTCCTGGGTTCAGGCAATTCTCCTGCCTCAGCCTCCTGAGTAGCTGGGATTACAGGCACGCGCCACCATGCCCAGCTAATTTTTTGTATTTTTAGTAGAAACAGGGTTTCACCATGTTGACCAGGATGGTCTCGATCTCTTGACCTCGTGATCCACCCACCTCAGCCTCCCAAAGTGCTGATATTGGTTGACTATTTAAGCAATTTTTCCTTATTTACGAATTAAAATAAATTAAATCATACTTGAGCTATTTTTAAAAGGATATACCTCATTTTTAAAGGCATTATGGTGAGTTTGTGCTCACTCTTCTGAGATACAGTAGGTTTTCAGAAAGTCTGGGAGGAACCACTTTCACTATTCCTAATCAAGTTTCTATAAGGATACTATTTTTTTAACAATTATAAATATTTGATTTATAAGGGCATTTATGCAAATTATGGAATTAGATACTTAATATGTACCGTTTGGCTGACTACACGGGATTTACTAGAATTCCACTAATTAATCCTCTCAACTTGAAAGCACAGTTTATGTAATATGAGTACTCAAAATAATCGCAGTATTAGTAATGCAAATATGGGTTGTGTATTGATTTTCAGCTAAAGTTTGCAATCTCAATATATGGAGTTTTGGTTGGTTTTAATAACATTTTTCTTTGAAAGCAGATTTGAAGTGAAGCTCATTTAGCCTTCAGTAATTTGTATGTTTGTCATTGCTGTTTGCCTTTTAGCTATAAGGAGCTGTGTGCATATCTGTTTAGGAATTCACTTTTATTTCTCACTTTATTTTCCCTTAACAAACATGTGAAATGTTGCAGATTGTTAGCAATCCCGAAAGTTTTATGTAAATAACCTATTTATTTAAGTGATCTGATATTTTAAATTCAGATTTGAAAAAATAAGTTTTCTATTTTCAAGAACACTTTTTAAATAGAAATTTCACTTGTATTCTCTCACCAATTTAACAGTTTTGTAAGATTAAGTTTTCAAAAATCTGTCTTTTGTTTAAATGTTAGGTAGATTTGAGTTGTAATATCTGTCAGTCAGACAGTCTAGAAAAGAGAGCTCTGAGAAGCAAAACTAACTCTGGCAATGAAATTTCTTATATGAGATAATTATTTTTTTAAAAAGAGCATAATAAACAAGCAATTTTCTTCATTGATGAAGTATTTATTTATTTATTTATTTATTTATTTATTTTATTTTTTGACATGGAGTCTCCCTCTGTAACCCAGGCTGGAGTACAAGGGTGTGATCCCTGCTCACTGCAACCTCCCCCTCCCAGTCCCAGTTCAAGCAGTTCTCCTACCTCAACCTCCCAAGTATCTGGGATTATAGGCACGAGCCACCATGCCCAGCTAATTTTTGAATTTTTTAGTAGAGATGGGGTTTCACCATGTTGGCCAGTCTTCTCTTGAACCCCTGACCTCATGACTCGCCCACCTCAGCCTCCCAAAGTGTTGGGATTATAGGCATGAGCCACTGCGCCCAGCCAAAGAATTGATTTTTAAAAGAATGTTGACTTAATGTTACCAGGAAGAAATAGCATAACTTGCATTTCTTGTTACTGAAAGTTCGAGTTACAGAGTGGAATCAGTTGTTTCCCACATAAAAGATAAGCAGATTGCACAACCTGAGTCATTTATGGGTTCTAGTTGTAGAGTAAATTTTGGTGTGCTTAAATAAGCAAGTTTGATATTATTTACATGAGAAAATTAGTGCTTTCCAACATATCAAAACTAATATAAGAGTTTTAATACCCAAAAGCATACTAATCAGATCATGATTTTAAGAAAGCACTTATTTATATGCTATTTAGGGAATATTTGTTTTTCAAACTTCGCACAGCAAATTTATATCCATTAATAAATGTCTGGTGAATGTATCTAGTCATAACTTATTTGTTACAAATGGCAATATGTTACAGGAGAAAACAAAGAAATAATTATAATGCTATAAGGTATAGCTAATCTCCCGTGGTAAACTATTATTTGTGTCTTTGCTACTTGGGTAGGAAGTGGGAAGCATCTGAAATTATGTGGTACAGAAGTACTGAGAACTTAGTCCTTTCAGTAACATTAGATTTTTAATAGCAGTCTGATTGTTATTATCATCAGCAAGGACATAATATAGAGTACATACCACAGTTTTTAATGACTTCTAAAAAATATTAATTTCATTCTTGCCTTATATTCATGGTAGAGTTCTTATTTTCTCGGTATCATGGATGGAAAAATTAACTTTCAGGAAGATTAAGTAATTTGCCAAAGTAAGAGAAATAAACACCTTGGCAAGCTGAGATTTATACTCAGGCCAGTCTGGCTCTGTAGTCTGTATATTTAATCAATACAAGCATTCTTTTTTATTGCTTTACAAATCAGATGTTTTTAAAGAAACCCTGTTATAATATTAGTAAGTTCTAGAAGATATTGAGGGTATGGGAGTAGGTTCATTAAATATATTAAAAGCTCACACTATATTGACTTGGTGATCAAATAAACCTTATAACCGTGAATGAAATAATGTTTCATGTTATGTCTATTTTGTTGTTTCTAAAGGGCAAGTAGAAACTTCCTTAAATATTATAGAATCAAATTAGTATTGGGTGTCACTTTAAAAATCAATATATTATTAAACTTACTCTGTTAATCATTTCCTGCACTTCAGTACATGAGGGTCATCACCGCCAGACTCTTGTAAACATGACTGTGAGTTTTTATAACCCTCCCTATTTAGAGTGAATTTTAGGTGGCTCAAAATTAAGAATTT